GACGGCAGTTGGCGGGACGCGGGACCCGTTTCCGGGAGGTGCTGTCATGGCGCCCCGGGGGACGAGCCCTATTAGGGGAGCGAGCCTCCTTGTTCGAGGAGACCGCGAGGCGTCCCGGGACTGTTTGGGGAAGGGTTCGGAGGGCGACGCCGAGGTCTGGAACCGCGATGGGAGAAACCGGAGTTTGTAGACGTGATGAGGTTCTCCGAGCTCGAGGAACTTCCCCTCCCCTACTCGGCTCTGTTCTTGCTCCCCGTTTAGGGGGTTCTGTGGTTTCAGATATTCAGGGCAAAAACCATGTCCAAATAGGGAGCAAACTGAAGTCGACATCCTTCCTGGGATTTGAGGGTGAAAGGGTGCGCGTACATGTCTGAGTTGTCACTTGTGGTGTCGACTTTAGGTTCCTCCGCTCCTGGGGCCACAGGCAGTGTCTGTCACACCCTCTGGGCGGGACAAATCTCGCCAGATCTCTCCTGGTCTCATTTGTTTTGAGCTTTTGATCCTGGCTAGCCACTTCCTAGAAAAACGTGTGCTAAAACTCAGCATGTTCCCAAATCTGTCTACCCTTCCAAACCTCTTTATTCCTTTACTTTTAAAAATACGTTTTTATTGATTTTAGAGAGGAAGGGAGGGAGAGAAACATCAGTGATGAGAGAAAATCATTGATGGGCTGCCTCCTGCATGCTCCACACTGGGGATGGAGCCCGCAACCCAGGCATGTGCCCCGACCGGGAATCGAATGGTGACCTCCAGGTTCGAGGCTCAACCACTGAGCCACGCCGGTGGGGACACTATTTCTTTTAAATACACCACCTCTTGGTCAGCTAAGAGCATACGCTGGCATGATCCCATCTTGTAGAGGAGTGGTCCACCCTTTTCCCTCCTTAGTTAATCCTCTTCCCTACCTCGGTTAATCCTCTTTCCCTTGGTGAGGTTGGTCTCATCTCCAACTCCTACTCCTAGTAACTCGCTCTTGGGCAAATGAAGGGCAAAGACTGACGGGGTCACTCAAATCTAAAACTTAGAGATTCCCTAGGACAAGCGCCCTGGACCTGACCAGCTCTTCCACCTTTGTCTTCTTCCTCTTTGTCAACCAGCCAGTCCTACTCTTCATTCCCCTAAAGGGGCTGGCGCTTTGGGGACTGAACATTCCTCCTGTTCTCCCTGCTACCTGGGAAATGACCCCTTCCTGTCTGCCAGTCGAAATCCTCAGGGCTGGTATCAGACGACCTTTTTCAAGAGTCGGATAAAAATACACGTTCATTTTAGCCTCTAAACTGAGGCCTTGATTTTAGTTCCATCTACTTAGTCATTACTGTTGAGTGCTTACTTGATGTATGCCAAGTTCTGACCTAGGCTCTTGGCCGAGGGGCTGGCATGAGTTGAGGGGGTGCTTTTTAGATTGGAGTCAGCAGGAAATGCCTTTCTGGAGCAACATGCCTGAAGGAAGTGGAACTCGTGGCCTTTCCAGGCAGCAGGAGCAACAAGTGCAAAGGTGTGAGGCCCAGCAGCTAAGGCCAGTGAGGGCGGGCAACGGGCGAGATGAGGTCTGACCACAGAGGGGATCAGGTGTAGGGCCTGGGAGGGTGGTGAGCACAGTGCGAGCCTGTGGAGGGTTTTGAGCAGGAGTGACATTCTCTGACTTAGCTTCTATAGGCTCCTTTTGGCTGCTGTGGAAGAGTGGATGGAGGATCATGGGGGATGGAAAACAGGGAGACTAGTAAGGGGGCTGTTGACATACTTTAGGTACCCAGATTCCCATCAACTGACAGTGGATAAATTGGTACTGTACCTGTACGATGGAATATTCAGACATGAAAAAATATGCAATACTGATACATGCTAAACATGGATAAATCCTGAAAACATGTTGTATGAAAGAAGCCACATAAAAGGATCACATTATATGGTTCCATTACATGAAATGCCCAAAATAGGCATACTCATAGAAAAGAAAGATGAGTGGTTGCCAAAGGGGTTGTGGGCATAGGATGATAGCTAAAGGGTACAGGGTTTGTTCTAGGTGGTACAGTGTTCTAAAACTGACTGTGGCGATGATTGTATGTATCTATGATTACACTAAAAACCATTGAATTGTACACTTTAAAGGCTGTAGCACGTGAATATCTCAAAGCTGTTCTAACTTTAAAAAGAAAGGTAACGGCAGCTTGGGACCTGCAAGGTAGCGGGGGTGAGAACTGGCCTGATTGTTCGTTAGGGTGGGATGTGTTGCTGATGGGACAAGAATGTGAGAGAATGGGGGCGCAACCTGTGGGGAGAAATGGAGGGTTTTTACTCTGGGCATTTTGAGTTCAACTTACAAAGGGAAATGTGGAAGAGGTGGCTGGTAACTGAGGGAGTTGAGGAGAGTCATTGCTGTTAGAGACACAGTTTGAGAGGCCTCAGCACAGAGGCGGTGAAAACCCTGGGCCACGGAGTCATGGAGAGGATGAGTGACAGGATGGCCATAAACTGGGCCTGGACCCTCTGCACCCAGCTCAGGAAGAGGGGCTCCTTCAGTACTTCTACTCCGTAGATTGGAGGCTGAGGTGGGGCAGGAGTGACAAGAGACAGTGTTGTCAGGTTTGGGTCCCTGTAGCACATCTCAACACCCAGTGGGTGCTCTGTATGTTTTGGATTAAATAAAGCCAGGATGTGAGCTAGCTTTGTATTAATTCCATTTACCATCTCAGCTTCATTTTTATTGGCCCAGGCCCAATGGGAGGCCTTTTCATGAGAGCACTTAATTATTCCCCAGTGCAGACCACAGAGAGCAGGAGGAGCTGGGGCTGGAGAGCTGGGGCTGGGCAGATGCTGCTCTCACAAACTCAGGTCTCTGCAGGCTGGGTAGATTCCCTTTGAATTGATTGCGATTGATAGGGACAGGGTTCCTTTAGGCTAGGTAGTCTCAGGCAGTTCATTAGACCTGAGACCAGGATGCTGAGAAGGAGGCATTTGTGCAAAGATCTGGGAGAAGCTCATTCTGGGGGCATCGATGGGCTATAAAAGCTTGGGGTAGGGACTCGAGTCTGAGCAGCCAAGCAAGGCTGGGTGATTTGAAAGGGGTGGCACGGAATGAGGTTGACGGGCCAAGGAGGAGGGTTGTGAGGGTCGTGGGGAGGAATTTGAATACCACTCTGAGCAAGTGAAGCCTTTGTGGAGGTACAGCTGGCAGGGAGAGCTGAGGTGGTTTGGAGAGTGGTTAGAGATTTGGCCACAACAGACTGAAGCTGGGCGATGCTGCACAGATGGAGCTGATGGGATGTGCTGCTGGGGTCAATGTGGGGAAATGATGTCCTGTCTCAGCTTCATCAGCTGGGGGCTTTCCAGGCCAGCCACTAAGATAGGACCCCAATGCATTGTCCCTCTCGAACCTGTGTTAACAGCCTGCAGCTGCTGTGTAGCCTTCTCCCTGGCTGGTGGGCTTTCCATGCATCTCAGTTGCTTCCCTGGGCCCTTCCTCCCTCTTCTGTTTCCAGTATTATGGCGGAACAGGATGTGGAAAACGAGCTTCTGGATTATGAGGAAGATGAAGAGCCCCAGGCTCCTACAGAGAGCACCCCAGTACCCCCCAAGAAAGATGTCAAGGGGTCCTACGTTTCCATCCACAGCTCTGGCTTCCGGGACTTTCTGCTGAAGCCTGAGCTCCTGAGGGCCATAGTGGACTGTGGCTTTGAGCATCCGTCTGAGGGTACGCCTCCCTGTTCCTTCGCTCCCCACCACACCACACCCCTCCGCTGACAGCCCACACTGGGAGAATCCAATTTCCAGTCACTCATGGGCTCTTTTTCCTTCAGTTCAGCACGAGTGTATTCCCCAAGCCATCCTGGGCATGGATGTCCTGTGCCAGGCCAAGTCTGGAATGGGCAAGACTGCAGTCTTCGTGCTGGCCACCCTACAGCAGATCGAGCCCGTCAATGGACAGGTGGGTGCGTCCTCCCTCCCAGGCTTAAGTTATGTAAAGTAGCATAGACCACGACTCCTGGTGTTAAAAATTCCTGTTTCCACATTCTTTTTGCGGGCTTTTAAAATGAAGTACAGTAGTTAGTTTTACAAAATCCCCCCAAAAATAATAAGCCAAGAAAAAAGCTGGAAAGTGCCCACAATTTTACCATCCAGAGACATGATTGTTATTTTGCGTGTACTTTCTAAATGGTCCCTACCGTATTTCTGAAGGGGGGTTCCACTGCACACAGCTTTGTCACTGCTGTAGTTGCTGACAGGCCTTAGCTGTCTTCTCCTGCCATGACAATCGTGTTCCACTCTCTTGGGGGATAATTGAGGTGAATACCAGTGTTCTGTTTTTGTCATGTTGGGGCAACATCCATGTGCTGCTGCATGTGGGTACACGAGCCTTTGTTTCCTTAGGGTACATGGTGAAGGAGGGGGTTTTAGTGGGAGGTCATGATGTGGTTGCAGAAGACCCCAGTGTAGCTAGAGAGTAGACTCAGCACGGGGCCTGTCACTGGCTAGAGAGCCAGTGTGGGCTCTAGCTGGGGAGGATTTAGGGTTCTGCCTTGAGTGGGTCTCTCTTGCCTACCCAACAGGTGACCGTCTTGGTCATGTGCCACACTCGGGAGCTGGCCTTTCAGATCAGGAAGGAGTATGAGCGCTTCTCCAAGTACATGCCCAGTGTCAAGGTGAGCCCCCTTGAGCCGGGCCTGGCGCCATATGGTCCTCTACAGCCTGGCTGGCCTCAGCTCTGGCCCAGCCAGCATTTACCAAGCTTGGCTGCAGCAGCTGCCTTTGAGGTTTGTGGTGGTTTATGCTCCTTAAAAGCCTGATGAATTATGCATGGCCCCCAGAGGCCTGCGCAGGTCCCAGCCCTGGGCTGCTTTTCGGTGGAGCTATGCCCAGGCTCTCAGGCCTGTCGAGGCTTGGGGAATTGAGGTCTGCTGCGGCCTGAGTTGGCAGGGCCATGGGCTGGGTGGCTGTCAGCATGGAGTAGGGTGCGAGGCTTCAGCCCTTGGATGGGCAAAAGTGACTTTCTCCCCACATGCATAGGTATCCGTGTTCTTCGGGGGTCTCTCCATCAAGAAGGACGAAGAGGTGTTGAAGAAGAACTGTCCCCACGTCGTGGTGGGGACTCCAGGTCGCATCTTGGCCCTCGTGCGGAACAGGAGCCTCAACCTGAGAAACGTGAAGCACTTCGTGCTGGATGAGTGTGACAAGATGCTGGAGCAGCTGGGTGAGTGTCCTTGTGGGTCTGGGGGGCTGCCAGAGACCCAGCCAGCCGCACCTGCGCCCTCACAGCCTTCCAGACTTCAGAGCCAGGTGGACCCTGACAGGCCAGGATGAGGGATTTCCCAAAGTGGGGTCACGTGGGTGGCCGGCAGGTCTCCTGTAGCAATTTAGGGCAAGTTCTTATTTTGACCTAATGTAACCTGCTACTTCTGACCCCAAGCTGAGTGGGACCACAGGGCCTAAATGAGCCACTGTCCGACACGTAAATGTTAGCCTGAGGCTTGCCATAGCCTCCTCTCCTGCCGGGTTAGCTCTAGACCCCCTGCCTGCCTTCAGTGAGCCCTGACGGGGCCAGTCAGAGATGGGGCTTGTGTCCTGGGAGGTAGCTGCAGCTCTCACCCCAGCAGCTGTCTCTGCCTCAGGCTCCCTTCCCTGAAGCATGGCTGGAGGTGCTCTGGCACGGCTGCTCCGCTCTGGCAGCGTGTAAGTGGATTGCAGCTCCTCCTGGGCCTGCGCTCACCCCAAGACCAGCCCCGCAGGCATTGGGGTCTCACCCCTCCCTCCACTCCTTGCTCACACCACCCTCATCTTGGTGCCAGGTTGGGAGGGGCTGGGACTGGTCTCGGGTGGGGGTCAAGGTCTGGCAGGCACTCATGCCCACCTGTTTCTTGCCCTCCCCACCCAGACATGCGGCGGGATGTACAGGAGATCTTTCGCCTGACACCACACGAGAAGCAGTGCATGATGTTCAGTGCCACCCTGAGCAAGGAGATCCGGCCCGTCTGCAGGAAGTTCATGCAAGATGTGAGTAAGCCAAGACCTCGGTGCAGCAGTTTTGGCTCTCCTGGGTCCTGAGGCCCAAGCTGCTGCTGCGGCACGTCACCCATGCTGCCCTCACAGCACGGCAATGCTGGGAGGCGTGTGGAGCCCTTCTTCCCTCCTCGCTGTCTTGTCGGATTGGGAGCTGAGCTTGGTCCACACCTGAATCAGACCAGAGCTTAGATCCAGCTGTTGGGAGAGAAATGTTCACTGGGTACAGCAGCCTCTCTGGGAAGCATCGCAGCATGGAGTCGTTCCTGGAAGGTTCTGGGCAGGCAGGGTGCCCAGAAGTAAGCCCTGCCCGCCCCTTCCTGCTCCCCTCCCCTCAGCCCATGGAGGTGTTTGTGGACGACGAGACCAAGCTCACGCTGCATGGGCTGCAGCAGTACTATGTCAAGCTCAAAGACAGCGAAAAGAACCGTAAACTCTTCGACCTCCTGGACGTGCTAGAGTTTAACCAGGTGACACTGCTGTTGCCCTTTGAGGGGTTCTGGACCTTTGGAGGGACAGTGCATGGGGACCGTGGCCCTGACTCTGCTGCCTTCCTCCGGCAGGTGGTGATCTTCGTGAAGTCGGTGCAGCGCTGCATGGCCCTGGCCCAGCTGCTCGTGGAACAGAACTTCCCAGCCATCGCCATCCATAGGGGCATGGCCCAGGAGGAGCGGTGAGTATGTGCCACCACGAAGGCCTGAGGGTGGGGCCCTCAGAGGGAGTGCTACTCAGGAACCTTGTACCTGATGTCTGCCTTTTGCTTCTCCTGCACCCAGCCTGTCACGCTATCAGCAGTTCAAGGACTTTCAGCGGCGGATCCTGGTGGCCACCAATCTGTTTGGCCGAGGGATGGACATTGAGCGAGTCAACATCGTCTTCAATTATGACATGCCTGGGGACTCGGACACCTACCTCCACCGGGTGAGTGGCCCCACAGAGGTGGCACCTCCCTGATGGCCCCTTCCTGGGGTGGGGACCAGGCCTGGCTTGTCCTCAGATCCCCAGGTTGTGTCTCGGCCTGACCTGAGTTCCTGTATCTCCCTGCAGGTGGCCCGTGCCGGTCGCTTTGGCACCAAAGGCCTGGCTATCACTTTTGTATCTGATGAGAATGATGCCAAAATCCTCAATGATGTTCAGGATAGGTTTGAAGTAAATGTGGCGGAGCTTCCTGAAGAAATTGACATCTCCACGTACAGTAAGTGGCTCGGGCAGGAGGGTTGTGCTGGGCCCCGGGGGCCTCTCCTCCTCTCACTGGCCTCCGCACGTTTTGTCTTACAGTTGAGCAGAGCCGGTAACCACAACCTGACATCCCGGAGCCACCCTGCTTCCCACGTGCTGCTTCAAGTCCTCTTTCTAGGCGACAGTGGGGCTTTCTTTTTACTGTTCAAACACTGTAGATTTGTGTAAGAATAAATTTTTATTATGGAAGCCTGGCTCCCGCCCATTTGTTTCTTACTGGTCTCTTCACATTTCACAGACATAGTGGGCCTGGTCAGTGAGGCCCCAGCCAGCAAAGCCACCTCCTGTACTAGTATCTGTGAGATTAAATTTTAAATGTCAACATTGAAAACTTTATACAGATTTAAAAAACAACAACACATTACACAACATCCACGACCTTCAAAACATTGAGAACCCTCTGTCCGGGAGGCAGACTGGCCTCTGTACCGTGAGTCGCAGGGCCTGAAGGGGCCCTGCCCTTCTCCCATCCTTGAGCTTAGTCTTAGCTTAATAGGAAAGTAGAACCCCAGCACGCTGGCCTCTTGTTATGTAGCAAAGACAGATGAGTGGGAGGCCAGGAGCCTTGTCTGTCCGGGTGTTGGGTACCAGGACAAGGGGCTGCAGCCCTGTCCGGCTCCTGCCCACCCTGGGTGCCAGCTGGGGTGCAGCAGAGGCAGCCAGAAGCAGGTCCATCAGGTCCGACTCCACCCTGTGTTCCTGGGTTTGGCGCCAGAGAACAACTGTTGATGCCCCTTCTCTGGGGACAGGAGAGTGGAGGGATCAAGGTGGTGAGAGAGGAGGGGACAGTCTTCAGTATGTGCAAAAGCTGCTGAGGCCACAGGAGCTGCTGGCCTGGCCAGAACCTCGCAGTCACATGCCAGACTCCGACGGCCTGAGGACCTGGAGAGAGAGGAACCCAGTAAGGACTGATTCTGGACTGATTCCGGCCCAAGGCTGCCTTCTGGCCCTGCACCCCCACACCAGGGTTGGCCCTTACCCTAGTCTGGTTGTGGCTGGAGCTGGATGTCGACGTGCCAAAGTCCGAGTACTTATTCCCAGTGACCATGCAGGCCCACTTCTGGTACTCCTCCCTCACCTGCAAGGCCCAGGGTGCCAGGTCAGGGGAGGCAGCCCCAGGAAGTAGGGAAGGGGAGGGGACCCCCACAGCTGACCCACGGCCCACCTTTTTGTTGAGCAGGCAGTGCAGCAGGAAGAGGAAGAAGCCCTGCAAGCAGTTGAGGATGGTGAAGGCATAGGCCAGCACCTGGCTCCTCGGGTCGAAGAGGAACAGGCCGAAGACCCATGTGCAGCCCAACACCAAGAGCTGTGCGATGGCCGTGATGGTCAGCACCCTGGGGGAGAAGGGCAGCTGTAGCAGGGGACACCCCACGCATCCCCCCTCTCCCTGTCGGCCCCTGCCCTCACCTGGCCTTCTTTAATTTCTTCATGTCTGGGTTGATCTCAGAGAACTTCTGACTGAGCTTCCAGACAGTTATCACGAAGATGACAGCATTGCACTGGGCGGAGAGCAGAGAGTTTGGATTAGGGTTTTGTCCTTGGAACTCAGGGAGAGAGCTGGCCTATTGGGCTCAGTGAGGAGCCAGGTGACACAGGCCTTAAGGGTGGAGTGTGGGGGATTAGTTACCAAAATGATGAATGTCACAGGTCCCACGAAACTCCAGAGGAAGCCGCGGGCGGGGTCCAGCCAGCAGCTGGATGAGAAGAGGGGTCTGGTCAGGAGCCCGAGGGGATTGGGGCACCGAGGTTGTGGCCCCACACCCCTGGCCAGCCCCCAGCCCTCCTGTGGCCTCACAACTCCCCACTCACTAGATATCGCGGCCGTAGCCCTCGGGCCTGGCGGCCGCTGAGATAGCCACAACGAGGAAGGGAACGCCATAGCCGATCAGGTAGAGCCAGCGCTTGCTCAGGCCCTGACCCTGGAATACACGCACCACGAGGAAGTAGAGCTCCAGGCCCTCTAGGCTCATCCAGCAGAAGGCAGCCAGGAAGCAGTAGTGCAGCAGCCCGGCCACCAGGCGGCAGCGCAGCCCCACCTGCGGGGTGGGGGCGGGGCAACTTCAGCGCATTCCCGGCCAGAGCACTTGTGGTGGGCGGGGTTGTGGGCGGGATGGGGCGTGGCCAGGTGGTGCTCAAGCCGGTGCAGGGGCGGGGCTTCTCCGACCTGGGACTCTGTGGGGAGGGACCTCACCTGGCCTCCTTCGTTCTCTATGCCCGCCAGAAATATGGCGGAGCCCAGGAAGAGGCATATGCAGAGGTGCAGGTGCACGGTGGTGCGCGAGCCCTGGATGGGCCGCACTAGCAGGAAGGTGAGGATGCAGAGCAGCAGGCAGACCAGCGACAGTGCCAGGCCCACTTTGGTGATCAGGGTCAGCTTCGGGTCCTAGATGCAGGACGGAATGGGAGGGGCTTGATGAGCACCCTGAGGCCTTGTGCCCTCCTTGTGGGCCCCACAGCCCAGACCCACCTGGGACCTGCCTGACCTCAGGACTCAGATCAGGCCGATCACCTCTCCCCACCTCTTCTGCCTTCAAGTCTGGCAAGCCGGCTGTGTCTCTGTCATTCTAAATGCGCCCCCCCCCCCCCCCACACACACACATCCGTGGGTGCAGCAAGGATCCCAGACTGCTCTCTGGAAAAGGTCCCAGTGAGGCTTTGACTGTCCCATCCTTTTCCAACACTGATGGGTCCCCTTCTCTGACCTCATCTCTTGCCCCTTCCACACCTGGGCACACCTATCAGCTCACAAATCCTACATTTTAGCACTTCTTGGGCCTTTGGCCTGGACCACCAACCTCCCCTACTCTGCCTAGCCCATTCCAGTTATCCACATGGCCGTTTATCTATGGATCACCTGAGGCAACATACAGAGTTGTGCTCCAGCTTTTGGCGATATTTAACAACTGGGTCAACCGGATCGGGGTGGACAGAGGTAAGCTAGCTGGAGCAGGGCCTCCAGTCAGGCCACATTTAGTTGCTGGGTCAAGGTGGCTTGTCTGTGGGACCACCTGAGCTGTGCAACCAAAAAACCCCATTGGGCCACACCGTCAAGAACCAGCTGCTCATCTCACCTAAGCCAACCTTGCCATCTGTGGGCTGTTGAGGGTAGCCCTGGGGCTGCTCACCTCCACGTCGTAGTGGGCCATGAGGATGGCAAAACTGCTCAGGTGGTTGCATTGGCAGGTGATACTGTTATTACTGCTGCCCAGCTTCTTGCAGCCTGTGGTGGACCAGTACCCACCACTGTCGTTACCCTTCCAGAAGGCACAGATTAGCTCCTGACGTGACTTGGGTGTCTCCGGCTGACGTGACTTGGGCGTCTCCGGCTGTGGGCAGGTGGGGGTGTTCAGAGATGTTAGCCTCGAGTCCACCCTTGGGGTCTGAGCTTGGGCTGGGTCTGAGGAAGCTGCTTTTCATTGACAAGTATTTACTGAGCACCTACTGTGTGTGCTAGGCTGGGCCACAGCAGTGAATAGGGCAGACACAAATCCCTGCCCTTGTGGGGCTGATATGCTCATTGGGGAGACAGGCAGTAAACAATAAACCTAATAGATAAGTAAACCCAATAGTGTTTTAGAAGGTGGTAGGTGCTATATATATATATAAAAAAAAAGAAACAGGATAGGAGAAAGATAGGGCATGACTGATTACAGATTGTAATTTTAAATAAGGAGGTCAGAGAGAGCCCAATAGAGAAGGTGGCATTTGAACAAAGACTAGAAACAGGTAAAGGACTGAGTCATGTGAGGGAAAGGTATCTGAGCCAGAGAGCACAGCAAGTGCAAAGGCCCTGAGGTACATTTAAGGAAGTAGCAGAAGGGGCGGAGGTGGGGAAATGAAGACTGCAGAGGGGCCACCATGACCTTGGCCAGGGGGTGAACAGTGAGGCTGATCCCACCTCCCTACCCAAGGACTCACTTGGTAGGAGAAGGAGAAGGTGACAGGAGGGTCTAGTTTCTCCGTGTTCTTGTTGCTCAGAAAGACCGTGTTGACAGTGGAGAGGAGCTTGGACTGAGCATCGTTGACAGAACTTTCATATGTCTCTTCCAGCTGGGCTTTCTTCTCAGGGTCCAGCACCACGGAGGCATTGACCAGCAGTGTCTCCATTTTTCGGCTGGAGAATATGCCTGCCACAGGGGGGCCTGGGGAACAGACATGCTGGCTACCTTCCTCCCTCCCTCCCAAGACGTCCAAATTAGGCTTGGCCAGTCCACCATGATGCCTGGAGTCCCTCCCGATGGCTCAGTTTCCAATGGTTATATATTTGGAACCTCACGCCTAGCCATATCCCAGCTCTTTCTTCCCTGTCCCACAGGTGCCCCCTCCGGCCACCTGCTGTTACCTGAGTCCCCGACTCCAGCTGCCTGAGTCCAGTTCAGCTTCATTCGTGCATGGCTCTGGCCCAGGGTGACGGTTCCATTCCGTTGCTCCTGGATCATCAGGGACAGCTCTGAGGGGAGAAGGGCAGTGACTGTGGGATCCAGATGCAGGATGGGGCCCAGGGTTGGGGCAGGGCAGGAAGAGGCCTCACCTGTGTCCAAAGGGGAATGGTAGGTGAAGGAGGGTCCAGGCAAGGTCTTGGCCAGGTTCCTCAGGACTTCTTCGAGGTATGAGAGCAGGTGGGTGGCCATGCGGTGCCGGTCAGAAAGGGCCAGGGCCTCCAGGTCCCCAGGGACTTCCAGCTCATCCAATGAAGTGATGAATTTCTGGGGGTGATGAGTGACAGCTGCTGGGTCCCTGCACCACGGGAACCGCCCAAAGGACCCTGATCTCACTCCCTCACTAGGGAACACACTGGAGAACCCCACAGGTTGCCTGGGGGACAGACACAGGGGAATCATCTAGATACTGCAGTAGCCAGAAGACAAAGGTGAGTATATGCCTATATGGCACTTAGCATTGATTAGCCACTGACTTTCTGCCAGGTTCTCTCCTAAGTCTGCACTGTCCAGAACACTCACCCCGAGTCACGCGTGGCACCATATTGAAATGGTAATATTTTGAATCTATTGGGTTAAATGGAATCTTCACATTAATTTCACTTGTTTACTTTTACTTTTTAAAAAATCCTCACCCAAGGATATGTTTTTATTGATTTGCAAGAGAAAGGAAGGGGGAGAGGGAGAGAAACATCTATGTGAGAGAGAAACATCAATTGGTTGCCTCCCATACACACCCCAACCTGGAATTGAACCCGCAGCCTTTTGGTGTAGAGAATAATGCTCCAACCAATTAAGGCACCTGGCCAGGGCTAGTTTTCATTTTTTTAAAATATATTTTTATCGATTTCAGAGAGGAAGGGAGAGATAGAAACATCAATGATGAGAGAGAATCACTGGTCGGCTGACTCCTGCATGCCCCCCACTGGGGATTGAGCCCGAAACCTGGGCACTTGCCCTTGACCTGAATCAAACCTGGGGCCCTTCAGTCCATAGGCCGTCACTCTATCCTTTGAACCAAACCAGCTAGGGTTATTTTTACCTTTTTTTTTTTTTTTTTAAATAAAGCTACTGGAAAAATTTAAATGACATAAGGGGCTCATATATTTCTACTGGGCTACGTGCATATGCTAAAACTTACATCCAGTGCTTTCTGTGGGCCGGGCACTGTTCTTTGAGAAAGATTCTCTTAGTTCATTTAAACCTTCACAACCGCTGTATAAAGCGGGAGACTGGGACACAGAGAGGGGGACCCTGAAGTCACGGCAGTAAGTGTGTGGGGGATTTGAACCTCTGTGACTCTGCTCCAGAGGCAAAATTCTGAATTGCTCCATTCTGTAGCCATTATATCCCTCGCGAGCGTGTGTGTGTGTGTGTGCGAGGGCCACCCAGGAATGGTGGTGTGTATGTACATCCGTTTGTGCGATGGGGATATACAGGGTGTCCTCAAAAATGTATACATACTTTAACAGCTGGTAGCTCAATTTTGAAAATGAAATATACTTTAATCAACACTGCCTTTATAATTGTTCCGGCTGTGTCCATACACTTTTGGGGGACAGCCTATATCTGATATGTGTATAGTGTGCGTACAGCCACAGCTGTTTCTCTGATTAGAGGCCCCTGCTTGGGCTGTCTCCACTCACACTGAAGCATCCCCCAGCCACCCCCACACTGTCCTGGGCTTCCCCCCAGGTCATGTCCTTACGTGGATGGTGTCCTGGGCCGAGTCAGCCTTGAAGTCTCTACTCATTTCCTGGACTTTTTCAAAGAAGTTGGAGAGACTCTGGGGAAAGAGGAGACGAGGGGTCAGAAACCCTCACAGGTGGGTGGGGGAGTGTGGGAAAATGGGTGGACAGTGAGCTGAGTGGAGGGACCTTGCCTCCTGGTCCCGGCTAGAGTCACTCACCTGGCTCTTGATTCCAGGGGGCAGGGGCCAGGTGGGGAAGATCTCTGCAGGGGACAGAACAGCTGTCCATTAGGTGTGTGAGTGTGTGTGTGTGTGTGTGTGTGTGTTTTTTTTAAAATATATTTTTATCGATTTCAGAGAGGAAGGGAGAGATAGAAACATCAATGATGAGAGAGAATCACTGGTCGGCTGACTCCTGCATGCCCCCCACTGGGGATTGAGCCCGAAACCTGGGCACTTGCCCTTGACCTGAATCAAACCTGGGGCCCTTCAGTCCATAGGCCGTCACTCTATCCTTTGAACCAAACCAGCTAGGGTTATTTTTACCTTTTTTTTTTTTTTTTTAAATAAAGCTACTGGAAAAATTTAAATGACATAAGGGGCTCATATATTTCTACTGGGCTACGTGCATATGCTAAAACTTACATCCAGTGCTTACTGTGGGCCGGGCACTGTTCTTTGAGAAAGATTCTCTTAGTTCATTTAAACCTTCACAACCGCTGTATAAAGCGGGAGACTGGGACACAGAGAGGGGGACCCTGAAGTCACGGCAGTAAGTGTGTGGGGGATTTGAACCTCTGTGACTCTGCTCCAGAGGCAAAATTCTGAATTGCTCCATTCTGTAGCCATTATATCCCTCGCGAGTGTGAGTGTGTGTGCGAGGGCCACCCAGGAATGGTGGTGTGTATGTACATCCGTTTGTGCGATGGGGATATACAGGGTGTCCTCAAAAATGTATACATACTTTAACAGCTGGTAGCTCAACGTGTGTGTGTGTGTGTGCGAGGGCCACCCAGGAATGGTGGTGTGTATGTACATCCGTTTGTGCGATGGGGATATACAGGGTGTCCTCAAAAATGTATACATACTTTAACAGCTGGTAGCTCAA